TTACAATATACATTTTTTGGTCGCCAATGATAGCATTTAATTTTTTTCTAAGCATCGATATTATTTTATTTCTTAGATACAATACGTATATTATAATAGGAGGAAAAGGCGGAGGATGTGAACGGCATGTGCGAGACAGACTTGACCACATGTAGATAGGTATTGACTGTCGGTCGTCCATTATATAAATAATGGTATATTGGAACGACGATAAAAAAAGCGGACTGTTGATCTGCGGGACTTCGGCATCGGTCGGTTACTAGGTACATATTATTATTATATACAGTATACAAAAATATAATAATATATGAAAATGCATTTGAAATCGGCGCTTTCCACCCTCATCCATGCCATGACCCGGATGTCGTCCATTTTGTATTGTATACATGTAAACGGACCCGAAGATAATAGTCTGTTCGGTTGCTTATTATTATATTTGAAAGTAATGGGACGACAAAAAAAAAAACGGACTTACAATCTGCGGGGTGTCGGCGTCAGACGGTTACAACACATACCATATTATAATATATATTATACACGTGTACCTTCTATAACATAATGCAAGGAATTTGAAACGACCCTGTGTTTTCTATTATATCTCTGGAGATATTTTGTATTAAAGTGAACGGTCCGAAGATAATTCTGTTCAGTTGTTTATCGTATTTTAAAATTAGTACTGCGACAAAACAGCCGACTTACAATGTGCGTGGTGTTGGCGTCAGTCAACATAATCGACATTTTACATCTATATCTTTTTTTTTTCTCTCCATTTTGAACTGACGGCGCCGCGGAAATTGCTTTCGCATTGCTGCCGCGAACATCTATATCTAATACAACATAATATAATATAATGTAGAAAATAAAATTTGAAAATGGTCACGTTTTACCCTCATCTATGTCACGAGAACAGAAATCGCTCAACTGCTTGAGTTTGCGTTTACCATCTCAATCAGTAGCTAGGTAGGTTGTAGATCCCCATTTAAAAGTTGTTAGGCAAAATCAAGAACGAATCCGGTCCCGGAGAATCTGGAGGCCTATAATGCGAAGGCCTATATGGCTTAACATGGCCGCCCGAAACATATGATGTTTTTACGTATTTTATCAAATTTCCAATTATTTTGTTTAATTATTGAAAATATTACTTTACGTTAGGCAATAAATACATTTATATGTATACCTATATAACTACTCGTATATAAGTTTGTATTTTTCATAAAATGTTGAACTCTATTTTATTATTTCTATATGATTTATGTTTAAATGAATATTAACATCACCGTCGGTATGCTCACCTGAAGTGCTGCGGCCTGCGAATGGTATAAAATTGCCTACCTAGGTTGTACATTTGCACTTAACTCGATGGCTCATACCTCTCAATCTGCCGCAAGCGATTTGCCCGTTTGACATTGGTGATGAGTGATGACTGATTTGCTATACATACTCAAACATGGTCCTTTAATTTTACACTTTTTTTTTCACATGAAAAAGCACTGGACAGACGCCGATGGCTTAGTTACAAGTAATTCGACTCACAGCGGTGATGACTGATAACTTACATGGCTATCGACTTGACACTTTCTTTACATACCAAAGACCAGACCCCTTCTATACTTAACGTCAAGCATTACCCCAAACAGGATCTTTCTCCATGCCATAGACTCGGAGGTCATCTTTATTATACATACATTTTTTTTATTATTATTGATGCAATACCCTCGGCGACATGGGCCATTGGGTTTCGTATATTCCATAAGTAAACGGACTCAAAGATAATATAGTATGTTCAACGTTCGATTGTCAATATTATTTTAAAAGTAGGTTGAACGAGGACGAAAGTGGATGTACTATCAGCAGAGTCACGTCTGCCGGGTAATACATATTATAAAAATATGATTCTATTATAATAAAACGCATTAAATATCGGCAATTTTCTACCCTTGTTCACTGTCGTATGTCATCTATGTTATATTCTGTGTAAATAAACGACCCAAAGAATATTTTGACTGTTCAGCTGTATAATATACAGTGAGTTCCGCTTAATGTGATCACTGGTTTATAGAATCAACCGTTTGTTAGAATCAAAAATGAAAATCCCAAGCCAAATTGTATGTTACTAATGTTAAATTGACATTTTATTAGAATCACTAAGTACCGGATAATTGAATCACTTTTATGAACAATCTTAAAGTTTGTATGGTATTTCAAACTGATTAATTTATAAAATTCATTTTATTTTTGAACTTATTAGTATGACAATATATCTTTGTACGTTATTATGTTATTCAATTATCTTTGTGCATCGTGAACTAGTGTCATTTATTATGTATGTTACATTAAATATGTAATTCTAAATAAATATGTAACTGTACAAAAAGATTGAATCATGAAAAAAATGTTGTAAATGTTTAATAGAATCAACCGGTTATTAGAATCAAAGTTACCTGCATCAAAGTGATCACTGAGTGCTTCATTTTTAGTACCTACTACCAGTATATATATATGTACTTGCCGAACTGCCGAAAATATGGTTTTTATGTTTATAGTATATGTAGAATAGTCAATAGAGATCATAATAATATAGGTACTTATATTATATTAATAATATAAGCAAAGTTATATCTATACGATATTGTTACCAAAACGAGTTGTTTCTATAATATTATTACTGTGGGTGACGTAAAATATAGAAATATCATATATCATAATATATTATATATTATCTATAGGTACTGTTATAATATTAGAAAGATATACAATATTGTCTGTGTGTACTGGCCAAGAGGTAATCTTGGAACAACTTACCTCATGGTTTGAATTATACGGTGACACAGGGTCAAATGTTAATGATAAGCGAGTAGCTAATTTTCTACTAAGTGGACAGAATTTGAAGGATTTGAATCAGGCAAGAACCAGCAAAACGACGACGAGCCGCAAACAGACACCGACGAAAAACCGTTCGGCAATACCAGCAATCGCCTGCGTATTAACAATCCTTACTAGCCACGATATTAAATCCTCGCTTCTAATTGGCCTATTTGAATTACTATTACTGAATTATTATTATTTACCGCCAATAACTGTGGCACGTATATTAATATTAAATCACCAAAAACTACCATTTCAATACAGTAATACTCCCCTTTTCAGTTTTTCAAAAATTAATAATCACTGGTTTAGCGACTTACGTCTATTATACATTCAATTTTAAAGCAATGATTAATCATTCAATATTAAAATATTTAAGTATTCAATAATAAAAAATACATTGAAATAAATCAATGATTCACGTATACGTTATATGTACTTACATCCTACATTAATTTGTTTTGAATAAGATAAAATTATTGAAAATATGTAGACTAAGTAATATTGAAATAAAACAAAATTACAACTTTATTACAAACAGGTGTAATTTGTAGGTTTAAATCAAGGTTTATAGATAATCATTATCTATAAACCTTGGGTTTAAATAGCAATATTTACCTAAAAACGAATTTTGTTTACTTATTGTCAGGTTAAAATGTAATTTTTACTTTACCACCATTTCTTTGAGAAATTCATTGATTGAAATATTTTTTGGATAGGACATTAAACATATGTGAATTCATTGTAATATTTTAATTTATTTTATTTCAAAACAACCCTACAATATTCCCATACAGGAGTCAGAAATCAAATGGCTCTCTTTCACATTTGAGACTGCAAGTAGCGATCCACTGTGATGTGGATATGCACTTGGCAATTAATATTCTAATTAAAATTAGGAATGAATACAACTATGAATGTATGAACTAATAATGAGAATTTTTCAACAGTAAAAAAATACTTGGTTACAAGAAAGGGAGTAGTTTCAGAAATAGTTTTAATTAATGGCAGCTTTTGAATTAGATTGGTAGTTTAGAGATTTTTTTATTAAATACTACCAAAAAAAAGATCGATAAATCACTTGTAAATAATTTTTTGGTAGATAAGTTATGTTTATAGATTATTTATTATAGGTAAAACACTTTGGAGACGAGAAAAACCAACGAAAAGCACCGAGAACATTTTAATGCGAAGGATATGGCACTGGACGACCATGTCCAGGAATAATTGTACAGTATCCTTTTCAAGACTCTAGCGTACAAATCAAGTACTTATTATTTGAACTATCATTAATAACTTTCATTGGATTGGAACTTGAATAATGTAAAATGTCTATGTGGATTAGTGGAATACATTTACCAGTATTAAAATGTTCAATATTCTTTTGTCAAATGATCAATTTATAAACACTTTAGCAGTTGATTTATTATTATGCCCTCCCTTAGCTCTTTTAAGTTCTAGATAGCCTTGACTCAACCTATATACTTTAATATAATTAAACCTCGATCTCCGGTAATTCGGAGGTGGGGTCGTTGTTAGTGGTATTCAATAAAATAATAAATTACTAAAAATTAATAAAATAAATTACTATAAAAGTAGGCCGCAATCGTCACCACGCATCAGCCGTTTTTAGTAAATCCAGGGGTTTTCTGTTTGGGAGTATTATTATTATTAAAGTGCAGATGGTTTTCAGGTAGTATTTCAAATCATTTTAGTTTACATTTTCATAATATAATATTAATATTTGAGTAAGTAGTAGTACATTACACAGTTTGAAATTATATTAGGCAGGAAATTGTTTGGATACCCATGCCGTAAAATGGCCGGTAGGCGTGTGACGATCGCGGCCTACTTTTCGTCAATCGCACTATAGTTTTGTCTTTGTTCGGACGATTTCACTTCGCATTTCGCTGACGCATGCGCACGCGTTCGATTTCAGTTGCCATGTTGGCGTAGCGTGTGGATCCCGAGGCATTCTCATCGCTCCACGGTTCCCGTCATTACCGAACTCACCGTCGCCGATAGCCTGACCAACAAGTGCACCATTCTTGCCAGTCGACACCACAGCAGTTTTTACGAATTATTTTTTTTTGTCCCTTCCTAGTTCCCGCCGAACTGCGACAGATACTTCAAAAATGAATTCTGCTATCAACGATCCTGCAAACAAAGGTAATGTTTTGAAATCCAACTATTATATCCACATAGGTAACGTAGTAATTTGTTTTTATTATGTTCGGTATAAGAATGAAAGGTATGCTGAAGCCGTGTCAGTTTGGTTATCGTTATTTATTATTATTATTAATATTACCATATTTTGGTACACGAGCGCTATTATAGTATTATAACAACTAGAGTCCCAACTTAATTCACTTTTCTGTCATAACAATTATCATTTCTATACTATATGGCTATATCATTTAAGTCTAATAACCAAAATCAAATTATTTTTTAAAAATAATAGAAGAGATATTCATAATATTAGTAGGTACCTACTTACCTATTTTATTAATTATTTTGGTGACAATTATTTGAAAATATCTTCTTGAGGTTGTTTTATTCAAACAATTAATTTAGAATGGTAACTAACATTAACCATTACTGTTTGTGCAACGGCGTTTTTGCTCCGCGGGACATCGCATCGGGTGTCGAACATTCGCGAAGATGAACCCCGACCCCCTCATCCACCCATGATCGCGCTGCCAGCCGCGGGCTACAACCGTCAAGACGTCGAGTGTTAACTAGTTCTCCCCGCACGTCCGTGCTTGGACGGTCGAATATTGCCTTTTCGTACCCGCGCCATCTTTTGCCGTTAAAGTAGTGTCCGGATCTGTCCGTCGACCACGTTTGGTTCAAATACACGCCGTTTTATCTACGCGCGTTTTTCGCTCCCTGTGTTTTGTTCGTACTCAGCCGTTTTTTTCGACTTCCACGTGTGTGTCAACGCGCCAGTCCGTTACTGACTTAGGTAACGTCGTTCTCTAACTCTCATTCACCGTAGTGCGTGTTCGGACCCCCGTGTCGTCCATCGCCGTACGCGTGAGTAATCTGTGATCGCGCTCGTGCGTCATACCGTGCACGCCTGTCGCATTGTTAAGTGCGTCCCCGTTCGCTGCTTTGTCGTGGGTCGTGATCGGCCGAATTTTGGTTTTCCCGTAAGTGTCCGTTGCGCCCTGAGGTACGCCATGACGCCGCGAGCGCCGCACCATTCAGGTGTACCAACTCCGTCATCGCGGGTGCGTTCGAACGGGGCACTAATCCCACATTGTTGCTGTCAGTTGGTACCAGTGTTGTCATCGTCGTGTCGGGACGGATACAGATTTCCCGATTTTGATAAACGAAAAATTTTTTTTGATATCTCGATATACCACAACTCGTACCAGAATATACCAGAGATCCAGAAGTGACACCACCAATAAGAAATAATTTACAATGATACCTTGTTAGCGGCACTCGTCGCTACGCTCCTCGGCGCCGTCGCTCCGCTCCGCAAATCGAACATATCCCTCGACTTGCTATGCAACACCACCTGAAGTTGGTCACTGTGTAACCGCTGTTATACCAAAGAACAACCACTCTTATCATTTTGGCCAAAAGCTTATCACTACCGCTATCAAAATCGGGAAATCTGTCTCAGCCCCCGTCGTGTCAAGTTGTCAGTCCAGGCCACTGTCACCACCACCGGCATATAAGATTGTTGTTTGTTATTTATATATTTTTTTGTACATTGCCATTCCCAATCAATAGGTTAGGTTAGGTACGGTATAATTAGGTATTTGAGTTAATTTTATGAGAAAGTAAACTCTAAAGTGTTATCTACTAACACAGTGTCATTTAATTATTTTTCATTTTATTGTTTTTTAAAAGGTTTTTTCTACATTTCTAAATTTGGGTATTTTGAATGAAAACCGTTAAATTTGATATAACTTGATCAGGGCCTATGTACTGGATGAAAGCTACATTGAAATTTATATTATTACTTTCTAAAAATATACTTAAATTGTTTTTTAATTATTTTAGCAATGTCAGAAATTAACTAAATTGGGCAAAAATTATTTACTCAATTAGAGTTCCCCTTTTTATAGATAGTTGTGTTTATGAAGACTTTAAAGAAATCCTGTGTAACTAACTGGAAAATACTTTATTACAACCTTCATCCATGTTTATTTGATAAGATTGCTATTTACAATCCTGAAGTATGAATACAAATTAGTTGAATTTTTAAAACATTTGAAGAGTCTAGGTTTTATGGTTTCATTGTACCAACAATTTTTTTTGATAATTTCTTATTTATATTTGTTGATTTTTAGTAGTTATAGATTTTAGCAAATGACGAAGTCGAGAAAGACATGTTCTTCTAATTTTTATAAATCAACATTTTTAAGTACAATTGTTCAAAATCCATTTTCGAAAAAAAACATTAATACATAATTTTATAATTACATTTCAGTGATAAATGTTATAAATGAACACAATGATCCTAAAATCAATGAAATGGCAAGAAGAATAGTTCAAAGTTATTCAAAAAATGAGTCAACTGCAGTAAAACAAACGTTGGCTATTGCACCAACCATTAATAATCAAGAACAATTATATGAAGATATTTTAGATATTTTTAGTATTAAAGGTAAGAAATTAAAAATCTATTGGTGTTTTGAAATTTCCATGAAGGCACATTATATTTTATGTTCTTTTTTGAAATACAGGGAGGTTTGGTGTAGAATTTATCAGCAACCAAAAAGTGCCATACATCATACGTGTTATTAATGGTGAAAAGTTAAAGTTTGTTTCCATACGGATGGCTGAAGCTTATGTACTCAAAAAATTTTTAGATTGTTTAAATCCAGATATTTATGCATGCACATCAGTAAAAAGTTATTTTATCACTGACAATGAAGCATTGTTATTAGATAAAATCAACCAATATCATGCTCATTTCGCTTTTGGGAAAAAAAAATTCTTAAGAACAAAAGATTGTATTGTACGTATAGAAGATGTTCATCAAATGCGTACATTCATGGAAGTATGTTATACAACATTTGCTTGCAATATTGATACAAGTCGCAAACAAAAATGCGGTCTTATAAATATTAACAACATTCTATGCTCTATACCATATTGTATTAAAGATAACCAAAAATACATTCCTCTATTATATTTTCAATATTTAAATGAAGAGGAAATACAAACAGCTGTAAAGTTTGAAAATTGGGACTTGGCCTATCTGAAGCTGTGTTGTAAAGTTCATGGTATCAATGATGATCTCATCACTAGTGACTCTTGCATGGTGGTCAGTCTTGATGACATCAAGACATTTTATTCAACAGATTTAAATTTTGAGGATTTTTGGCCATTAAATATAGATTATACACAGTTCATAAACGTGAAACGGAAAGATCTATCGGGGACATGGATCAGAAGACCCGTTACTGTAGTACCTGCAAAGAATAATATTTCTCGCGCTTTGACAGCATCAGCAACCGTGACATCTAATAGTATTCCAGTAATGATGAACACCAATCAAAATGGACAGCAAACAAACAAAATGGTATGTAATGTATACCAAGTTTATTCAATTGCTTTTATGTTTTGGTTCTTAGAGACAAAATATGTTGCTTGTGTTTTCACTATGTATTTAATATAACCGTTTATTTTATGCTTAAAATTATTTTTAGTATTGACTTTTAAATTCGAATAAATAATGGATCTGCAATGTATAAAATATAAATAAATGTAAGATAAATACATAAATTAATAATTTGATATTTTGTAGATAATAAAATAATATGTAAATGGAAAAATGATTTAAAGGCTTTTAAATTAACTTTTCACTTTATTTTCAATGCAATTTTACTTTTATTTCCTTATTTAAATTATACATTGCAGTAGTAGTTTTGCCGAGCATGTATTTTAATAAACAATTTTTGACTTCAATTACAAATTATGACTTCTTATAAAAACCAGCAATTAATTTATAGCGCATTAATGTGGAACTTAGTGTTATAATTTCTTATTTTTCTTCTCCTTATAAACCACTTATATGGCATTTCTCAACCTATTATCTGTAGCTCAAAGTTCACACTGTTGACTAAACAGTTTTTGAAACTATAATATCTAGTCACCTTTAAAGATAATAATATAACCATTTTTAAACGTTTATTTTATAGAAACAATTCTTAAAATCTAATTGCCATTCATTAGTTGGTAATTTAAACAACTGAACAATTGTATTATACTAAACATTTATTTACATGTACTTGAAGACTCAAAGAAATTTTGATATATTGATAAATAATAATTTAAAAATAATGTATTTAGCTTTTTTTGAGTGGAAATTGATAATACTTTTGGCCTTTTAGAGTTTAATATAATTGACGCTTTACCAAAGTCCATAATTTAATACAACTATTGACTACAAGTTTTGCTGTATGTGTGATGATAAATTAAAGAATTTGGATTCAATAGTTTTTTTTATTTTTATAATTTTTAATATTAGTTTGTTAGCCATGTACCAATAATATTATTATATATATATCTTAGCAGCAGCAGCGCCAACAGAAGCAGCAGCAGCAGCAGCAGCAGCAGCGCCAACAGCAGCAGCAGCAGCGCCAACAGCAGCAGCAGCAGCAGCAGCGACAGCCGCAGCAGCAGCAGCAGCAGCGACAGCCGCAGCAGCAGCAGCAGCAGCGACAGCCGCAGCAGCAGCAGCAGCAGCAGCGCCAACAGCAGCAGCAGCAGCGCCAACAGCAGCAGCAGCGGCAAATTACAATTCCACAAATTCGACTGTCACATAGTGGCCAATCTGTGCTTGACATTATTGACTTGTCATCACCACCATCTAGCCCTGTTCCTCCAACTGTAGAAGATACTTCTCTCGGCCCTTATTTTAGAATTGAATTCAAGAGTATACCTGAACAGGAGGGGGCAAACAAAAATGCTGCACACGAGGTTAATAATATTTAATATTTTCAGTGTAGATTAACGGACATAATTTTTACTTTGAATGAAATTATATTGTTTTTTAAACTTTAATACTGTCGTGTGTGTAATTACAGAGGTCCACATAGAAATAACTTTTAGTGATAAAAGTGTACACGTTTTCTGAATGAATCAAAATAATAGTAATTTACAATAGCATGTGTATGTTGAATGACTAGAAAGTGCTTAGTTCTTGTAGGCTACGATACATCTGCATGTGCTGTAATACGTACACCATTATATGTGGTATCAGCTACTTTGTTTTGGTGGTTTGCGCGTTGGTAGGTGGATAGTTATTGTTGCCAAATTCATAAAGACAACTAGTTTCAACGATATCTAAAATCAGTATCTGGCCGATAATCCCAAGCTATTTGCATTTATGTGTTTAGGATTACAGTCTATAGATTATGAATCTTAAGCATTAAAAATTCGTCAATTCGCTCTATATGTTAGTACTTTTAGTACTTTTTGAACTATTTACTTTTTTTTATTTATATTAATTATTTTTTTAAGTGGTGGTGTCGCCGAACATGTATTTCAATTATCAAATTTTTTCTTTCTTTAATAAGTCTCCGAGATTCTAAATAAATAAACAATGATTTTGTGGGTTAATTCATATATCATCCAGACTTGACCGCCATCAATAACAAATTAAATCAGCTTATCAAAACCAGAAATTAAATTATAGTGCTATAATGTAGTACTTATCGTTATAATTTCTTAATTTTTTCCTCTCCTTACTGACGCATAATTACCATTTCTGAACCAATTATCAGTAATCCAAAGTTAACACTAAAAACTAAATCATTTTGACTTGATAATTTGGTCACCATTAAAGAAAATAATACATAAGCCTTTTTATACTTTTTATTTAAGAGAAACAATTATTAAAATCTTATTTCATTTATAAGTTGGTAATTCAAACAACTGAATAATTGTTTTAATTAAACTAAACATTTTTTTACAAAAACTTGAACAATCAAAGAAATTTTGATATATTGATAAATAATAATTTAAAAATAATGCATTTAGCTTTTTTTGAGTGAAAATTGATAATACTTTTGTCCTTTTAGAATTTAATACAATTGATGTTTTAAAAAGTTCATAATTTAATAAAACTATTGACTCCAAGTTTTGTTATATGTGCGAAGAAAAATTAAAAAATTTGGATTCAATAGTTTTTTTTATTTTTATAATTTTTAATATTAGTTTGTTAGCCATGTACCAATAACATTATTATATGTATATCTTAGTGAATGAGAAGTATTATATTTAGTTTTCATTGTATTTTCAGAGTTCAACAACGTCACAAGACAGCAGTTTTGGATACGGTGCGGTTCATGTGGTACCACCACCGCACCTGAAACAGCAGCAGCAGCGGCAGCAGCAGCGGCAGCAGCAGCAGCAGCGGCAGCAGCAGCGGCAGCAGCAGCAGCAGCAGCGGCAGCAGCAGCAGCGGCAGCAGCACCAGCAGTGGCAGCAGCAGCAGCAGAAGCGCCAACAGCAGCAGCAGCAGCGCCAACAGCAGCAGCAGCAGCAGCGCCAACAGCAGCAGCAGCAGCAGTGCCAACAGCAGCAGCAGCAGCAGCGCCAACAGCAGCCGCAGCAGCAGCAGCAGCGCCAACAACAGCAGCAGCAGCAGCAGCAGCAGCAGCAGCGCCAACAACAGCAGCAGCAGCAGCAGCAGCAGCGCCAACAACAGCAGCAGCAGCAGCAGCGCCAACAGCAGCAGCAGCAGCAGCAGCGGCAGCGGCGACAGCAGCAAATTACAATTCCACAAATTCGACTGTCACATAGTGACCAATCTGTGCTTGGTAGTGTAACCAACATGATGCGTAATGTCAGGAATAATGTAGAGCTAGACTCTTCTACGCCCTCTGACATTATCGACCTAACATGACCACCATCTAGCCCTGTTCCTCCAACTGTAGAAGATCCTTCTCATTAATACTTCTTGTAATTATTATAATGTAATATTTTTTTTTTATTTAAGAAACTTGGTGAAAACTATTAGTTTCAACAATTACAATAAACATATAAATATATAATAATCTACTAAATTGGAAAAAGTGTTTTTTCTTTTTATTAATTTAAATTTTGAAACCAGCTTGGTTGAATAAATTAATAAATGAAAAAATAACGGATTGAGAATTGTAGGAAATGATACATTGAGGATTGGCTGGAATGTTTAGAGAATTAATTAAGGATAGAAAGCTTTTGCGTTTGGAGGAGATATGTGGGCAGTTAAAAAGAATGTGAGTGATATTTCAAGTGGTGGGAGTAGATTGGCGAGTGCAGAGGGGAGAATCATTTAGGCCAAGCTTGAATGAGTGCGAGGGTAGTAAGGTGTGTCCGAAACAAAGGCGAGAGAGAGATGAAATATTCTTGGGAGATAGTTCAGATTTGTCAAACCATTGGAGAGGAGAAATGGATGACGCAATGTCTCTGTACCAAGTGGCAAAATGGATGGGAAGACCTTCCCATTATCTGAGCCACAATTTATCAACGCTATTTTTTAGCATTGGGAAAAAGTCAGGCTATGGGATTGTGCTGAATGGAGGGCAGCATAAGCAGGCTGTCGATTTAGCTAGAGTCTGCTGTCTCATTACCAGAGATCCATGTATGGCCAGGGACCCAGAGAAGCCGTACATTAAAGTCTAATTCGGCGAGCGTATGAAGGAGCGATCTGATTGTAATAATGAGTGGGGAGTTGGGTGTGTTGAAAACATTTGAGACAAGAGCTTGTAAACATGTAAGAGAGTCGGTTATGATTAGAAATTTGTTAGGGGTTACCGTGGAGATGAGAAGTAGGGATTCAATTATAGCATAGCATACGGCGGTATAGGACGATGCTGTGGGAGGTAGATTATTAGTGAAGGAAGTATGAAACTCCGGAATAACAAAGGCAAAACAGACTGAAAGAGGTGTAACAGATCTACAGATCCGTCATTGAATATAAAAATAAAATCAGGGAAACTGTTGTTGATGTAATCCAAAAATAGGCCATTGACGAAATTAGGTTGAGCCGTTTTGGGAAAATCTATAGGAAACTCCAAAAAGTTTTTACTGATATGTATTGTGGGACAAAGAAGGAGCGAAGGGAAGTTTGTTTCGTACAACGGTAGTTTATTCGATTTAATGATATATTCTCGTATTGGGGCGAGCGAATGAGCAGTTAGAGCAAGAATGGGAAGCGATTTTGATAATGTGATATTATATTATAATATTATTCTTTCATTTTATGATTTTATTTTTATAATTTAAATGCGCTCAATGCCTCAATATAAATAAAAAAACTTTTTTTGGTGCACATCATGGTAATATGAGACGGTACACCGTCACTTCATCGTGGCTATTTCATCGCGATCCTATTCGTTGTGTGTCACTTCATCGCTGACTGTTCGCTCTAAACACCTTCGCCTGCATTTCGTCGTGTAACAGTTTATCGAATACATTTCATCGCATGGCATATCATCGTGCATGACATATCATCGCAATATTCATTAATCATTATCGTATACCTACATAAATACATTCGTCATAAATAATTTAGATGTTTTTATAAAACGTGTAATTTACTAGCTTCATTAGTTTTATTGCACAAACATTTCAAATATTACAATTTAAAAACAAAAATAATTTAATAAAACTCGAAGTTTGACATTTAATGAACACGATAAAATAATAATTTATTTTTGGTTTAAAAATCATAATTTATTCAATCTTTAATATTGATATTTTATTTATATTTTCTATTAGTTGAATAAAATATATTTTATTTCCAATATCAATTGAAAATTAAATGTATCTTATAATTAGGGCTGGGATTTCGATGCACTTAGCATTGTTTTTCAAAGCTTACTGTGCAATGCTCGTCTTGTCACAAATTTGTTTTATGTACATTTGAATAAGAATAAGAAAGTTTATTTTGCATTTTTTGGCATTTTTTGGCATTTTTTAGTTTTTAAGTCATTTTCTTAATTTTTTAGGGCATTTTAGAGTTTTTGGAGCATTTTTTGAGTTTTTGGAAACCAAGTGCATGAATTTGAAATTTTATTTTAAGATTTTTACACCAACATGGTTTTTAAATAAATATAACAGATTATAAGTAGGTACTCGTAATTCGTATTATATTATCGATTTGTCGACATTATAGGAGTATTATCGAGTAACCTCTACCCGCATTTCCTGTTAAATAATCTTAAATCGGTAAAATCGACGTCCGATGATATCGTTCGACGTTCAGTACGAGTTTTGTCGTGGTTAACACCGTTTTATTACTCAGGTTAATTTTTTTTGGTAATTTAATATAAAAATGCCAAAAGTAAAATGTTCGACAGCGAGTCGACTGCGTGCGTTTGTACAAGAATTTGGACATAATATTTTTTCTACCGACGGATTGGTGTTATTCTGTAAAATATGCAACGTCAAAGTTACTGCTGAAAAACGATTTGCCGTACAACAAAATTTGTCAAGAGATAAACACATCAATGGAGTAGAACGGAGTAAATTACAAAACGAAAAAAATAATACAAAAAGTTTTATTACAGACGTACCAAACAGGTCGGAATATTTTTTAGATTTAACTCGTACATTTTTGTCATGTAATATTCCGTTAAATAAACTCGAAAATCCTGCGTTTTCTAAATTTTTGGAAAAATATACCAATAAACAAACGCCTGATCGCTCCACATTACGAAAAAATTACGTCAGTATATTATGTTACGATGAAACTATACAGATGATTAGGTCATACGTAGAAAATAAAAAATTATGGGTTTCTATCGATGAAACGACGGACGCCAATGGTCGTTATGTTGCCAATGTTATAATAGGTACATTAGAAGTAGGTAACATAGGTAAAATGTTTTTATTAAATTCAGAAATATTAGAAAAAACCAATCACAGTACAATTGCCAAAGTTTTGGATAAGTCTTTTATCAATATTATGGCCACAAGGAATAATACACGATAATGTCCTTTTATTTTTAAGTGACGCTGCTCCGTACATTTTAAAAGCAGCCACATCGATTCAAACTTATTATTCGAAAATGATACATGTTACATGCTTGGCGCACGCCTTGCATAGAGTTGCCGAAGAAATAAGAATACATTTTCCAAATGTTGACGAATTGATAAATAACGTAAAAAAAGTATTTTTGAAAGCACCGTCGCGAATCCAAATATTTAAAACAATGGCACCAGATATTCCACTACCTCCTCGGCCTGTATTAACACGTTGGGGCACTTGGCTTAATGCTTCTATGTACTATTGTGACCATTTTGAACTAATTAAAGAAATTATTAATCAATTAGACGGAGAAGATGCAGTTGCAGTTTCTAAAGCTCAGAATTTATTTTCTAATGTAAATTTGAAACATAACTTAATATATATAAAGGCAAATTTTAGCACATTAGCAACATCTATAACTCAATTAGAAACTTCCGGAGTACCTTTGATTGATTCCATTAACATTATTCTAAAAATAAAAGCTGAAATTCAAAAAGCACCAAATCAAATAGGAAAAATAATATACCAAAAACTTACTACTACTTTAAATAAAAACAAAGGATTTAAAATCATTTCCGATATATCTGATATTTTGAACGGTCAAGGCGCAACAAAAGAAATTCCGGATGATCTTACAGCAAATGATTTAGCCTTCTTCAAATATTCGCCAATCACTTCAGTAGATGTTAAAAAGAGTTTTTCCATCTACAAGAACTTACTGGCAGACAACAGAAGATCATTTTTATTTGAAAATCTGAAACAAGCTCTCGTGGTTCAGTGTAACAGTTCAGAATGTACAGGTAAATAAATATACGATCTAAACGTATTAAATAATTTATAAAAATATTTTTTTTTCAGATTGAACGAAGTCCACGTCTATGAGATTAAGTCTATGTGTACAACTTTTTTTTTAGATTTATACTTGTAATACATTTTTATAATACATTTTTTAAAAATTTTTATTGTAATTTATACTAAAATTATTAAAAATAAAAAAAAATTTTAGTTCATAAAAGCAATTTTTTAAGGGCATTTTTCGGGTTTTTTTAGGGCATTATTTAGAGTTTTTAGGTCATAAAAGCATTTTTTTTAGGACATTTTTCGGGGTTTTTTAGGGCATTAAAATCCCAGCCCTACTTATAATGTAACATTAAATAACTAAACAGTATAAATATTTATTTTTTGTTAATACTTATAATTTATTCAATATTTATAATTATTATTTTATTTTTATTTTTTATTCATGAAATAAAATATATATTATTTTCAATGGAATTTTCAAATTAAATATAACTTAAAATGTAGCATGAAATAAATATATTAGAAAAATATCTATACTCTCAATTAAAATAAAATATTTATTAAATTATCTTAATTTATTTAAAATGATGAATAAATATTTATTAAATATTGATGTGCTGTGTGGGCAATTTTTCCGGAGACTTTTTTTCCGGGACTTTTTTTCCCCGAGACTTTTTTTCCGTTCCCCCTTCATTATAGTGTGGGCAATTTTCAATTTTTGACAACGAATAATGTATTGCAATTTATAAAAAAAAAACTTAATATGTATATTTTATTAAATTAGCCAAAAATTATATAATTATGTACTTATTTAAAATATATTTGAACAATTGTATAATTAAAATTAACGACTAGTTGAAGAAGGTGAACAGAAAAAGTTACTCACAACATCGTTATACTGTCACTATAATAGGTCTTTAACGAGATCCTTACCTACCAAAGTTATGAGTTGTAATCAACCTATAGCTAATTTTCCATTATGATATTGAGTTGTAACTATCATCAGTAACTATAGATAATAATATTATATTATGTGGAATAAGTTATCGTATATGATTCTGAAACCTACTCTTAGACTTAAAAATATTACCTAGATTGGACACCTATACAACATAGTACATACAATGACGACGATTAACGCGATAAATTGATGCGCGATGAACTGTCGCAGAATCATAAGAGACACACTGATTGAGAACCTCCGTTATAATATGCTCTTTATTATTTTGTCCTTGTTATATCCATAACAGAGCTGGTCATCTACGGTTTTATGAATAGTCTATGTTTGTTACTCTTTCACAATTTTTTACACGGTTGGCCTAATGGACACAGAAATCTGAGCTTGACACAAATTCCTCATTTGTCATTCATTTTTTAGGCAACATGTTTTTCTTAAAGATTAAAAATTAATTAAATTTTTAATTAAGTTAATTTTAGCTTAGTTAATAATTTTTATCAATTAATTTTTAACTTGATGAAGTTATAAATCATCTTTAACTTAATGAGTTAAAAAAAAATCGTTAACTTGCCCAGCCTTGCTAATAATTAACCTATTATGGTGTGTAAATAGATTACTTGCGCTACTGGCTACATCATAATTTATTCTCTTTCATTGATGGATTTGAAAGTTCAAAGTAGTAAATTGGTGATTAACAATAATATAGGTAAATAGCCTGTACCAGCTAGTAGTTAACGGTAACACATAGTTACCTATGGTCTGATTTTAATTGTTCAAAGCAGTTTTACAGTGCTTTCATATTATTGTTCAAAAATTAAAACTTAATACCTTCATCTATACATTAAAATGTCAAATTAATACAACAATAAAAACTAAACATACTCCTATTTTCATTCACGCAAATGAATGAATGTGACCCCATTCACTCAGTCACTTCATAATCTTAACACAGACTTAAGAAAACTAGAGGTACCCGAGGAACTTGACAAATACCTTGATATTTTGTAGGTAAACGTTCCTGACTGCTGGTAGACGCTTTTGATTTTTTATATACTAATATATTTATTAGTACTTATTACATGACTAATTTAATAATAATTAATATCATACGTTTAATCAATGACGGCTTATCTAAATATTTGTTAAGAATAATTTAGTGTCTTCTATCTTTGCTAATGTTGATGAATTGAATAATATCATGTTGAACAAACAAATTAAAAAAGAACAAAACCTGTAAATACAAAAAGAAATTGTTTTTTATATTCATCTGACTGAGCCAAAATAAGAAAATTGACACAATACACTCTGTAAATGCTTAGAAAAAAAAAAATTCAACAAAATCATGGACGGTCTACAATATACACACACATCTTATATGCATATGTTCATGAAAATTTATAAATACAAAACGAAAAAAACAAATATTAATTTTTTTATTATTAACATTAATCTATTCACAAAAACAGTTAGCTATATAATATACGTACAGTAAAATCAACAAAGAGTAATATTGTTAAAAAAATTTATAATTTCATAGCTTAAAATAACCTAATATAATATGGCATCGTTTTTATTTTACAATCATTAAACAAGGTGAAATATAATGTAAACATCATATGAATATGGCAAATTCAGCATTTTTATTTCTTCGTGGTAGAATATACACCAGCCAACAACCGCTGATATTTCTTTTTTCTACCACCTGAGAACAAAATTATTAATAAAAATGGGTAATTAATATAATTTATAATTATAACAGTTTAAAAAACAGATATATAATCAATTAATTGAATACAAATAATAGTATTTTACTATTAATTTTCATTCATAGTGGAGATACGCTTATATCGTATGACTATAATATACCTGCAGTTTTGATAATTATGATAATTATTAAAAATGATTAATGAAATTACATTAAATTGACGCTTTGGGTGTCAACTAATTGGTTGAGTTATTTTTATTTTTTGACTAGAAAAAAATTAAATTCATGTATTTTTCACAGAATACCATAATCATTAGTACACATACAAGAGTGCATTATCCAAGTATCACACTAGCACCCCCCATTTAATTTAAACTAAAATTGTATAAATATGGGATATATTTTAAAATAAATAGATTCTTGTTTTAACATAAAATGCAATGTAAAATTGCCTGAAAAGTTATTTTAAAGTTTATGAGATCATGCCAGTTAATTTATTTCTGTGTAAGTTGGTGATGGTTCAAGACAGGTGCCACATGGTGGTTTGAAATATAAATTAGGCATGCAAAAACCTATTTATAAATATGATTAACTTATTATTTGATATAAAATCAATGAAATTAACTAATATAATGTCAATAGAATAATAATATTAATATAGGATGTATATAAGTATTATATAAATGTTGATAAATTGTTATTCATGTATTAAGATTAAGTCATTGATACAGTATAAGTATATGTACACATTTCTTTTACGACTTATGTATGGACATGCATGGAGAGGATAAGTACATAAATAATCTTATTTTAATTTTGACCACGTAATTAGCATAATGTAGATTTATTGCTATTGGTTAATTGTTATTTTTAGAATATAAAATAATAGTATATTACTAGCAATTCAGTAATTACTAATTAATATTGTTCTATAAGACATATGCTACTATACATTTATACATACTCCTAGGTGTATAACATATGTCCCGTTATGATTTCTAACCTAACTTAACCTATGTGCGCATTATCATGGTGAACTGTCTGAACTAGGTACACTGTAGTTAGAAAAAGTTGTTTTAGACAGTTAATTGTGTAAACTTAATTAAATATTAAATTTATCGATTACATTAAACGATCATAAAGAATGATTTGACCAAACAATAATATTTCATTCATATATCCTATATTAAACCTATTATTATGTAATTTATTTGATTTTGACAAAAATAATGCTGCAATTGTCATAACGACTCAACAATAATATTTAACTTATTTTTAAAGTGGTGCATTTATTAAGTGATTTCATTCAATACATTCCAAAATGTCATCGTGTGTATACTGTATAGTATGTACAATATTGAAATATACTCTACAAGGCAACCACAAATATATTTATCAACATCACAATGAAATAATTAAAATCATTATCCTTGTTTTAATATGTAATTTTTTCCAAATTTGAAATTAAAAAGATTCTGTAAAAAAAGTGTTTATATATTTTAATAGATTTTTGGGTTACAATATGAAACTATTTATGAGAATCAATGTTATACATTTTCAATTCTTGACTATACAATTTTTAAAAAATATAAAAAAATTATGAATATACAAATCGTCAACTGCTATTATAACATCTTATCGAAAACATTGTAGTACATTTTTAAGCTTTTTGATCCAACAAATGATAATTAATTGGCATATTTTATAGAATAATAAACTAAAAAAATTGAAAACATTTAATGTTTATAAATACCTATCTCATGATGAGTCAAAATATTTTTTAAATTTAATCATTTATAGAAAATGATAAAATGAATGTTTGATGAAAATTTCAAGTACCAACAATAGTTTTTGAATAACAACAATATAAGAAAATCGTTGTATGACAATTTGTCAATTTACGGGTGAATATCCAATTCAAACTTCAAACACTAGTAAAAATTAATTTGACTTTCTGGTAAGTTTTTTTTTTGTTAAACACAGGAAAGCTTAAGGTGGTTTTGTATAAACATTTCAAATCTTAGATATACATTGAACATTTTTTATGAATTTCTAATTCCAAATAATTTGACAATTTTTGTGATATTAGGAAAACTAAATAATTATTTTAACTTTTCTTGGACCTTTAATTTTAAGGCAGAATATATTTTTTTGAGAAGTCTTAGATTTTATGACTTCCATAATGTCATATATGTTAATTTATATGAGTTGGCATATATTGTTAACATCTTCACATCCCTAAAGGGTAGATTTTAAATTTGTGGTTAAATTTTTACAAAGACTTCCCAACTACTTTCTAACTTTTACATTCCCCTAAATTCGATAAAAATACTGCAGTACGATCAAATAGGTAATACCAAAACACGTACGAAGCAAATGTCAGGTGGACGAATAGCTCAAATCGTCTTTAAGCCACTGTGGGATGGTAGTGTGCTCCAGCTTGCGCAATAGTTTCACCAATGCTGTGTTGTACGGCATATAATACTCTCTGAGGTATTTGTATGACTCCGCGTCCATGGTGGCATATTGCCGCCCTTTGCCCTTTCCTAGGCACTTGTTACCACCGCCTTCCAAAACCTTGCAGAAGAATCCCTTCTTGGCATCATATCTATAAAATGTAGGGCGACCAAAGGTGTTAAATTGGAGATAGTTCAGATATTGAGCCTGAGCTATATCATTCTATAATATGACTTAGGTATAATATAATTGCACCTGATGTGAGAAGAATAATCAAAAGGCGGTGTGATTTTTAAGAACTTTTGAAACTGGTCGAGCACATCCACGGGATTGGACTTTAGCTGGTCGCCATCAATTATGTGCAAGTTATTGTGATGGAAATAATCCAACCAATGTTCTATGTGCAATGCATACTTTCCTGGGTTTAAGCATCTGAAATTGGAGTCAAAATTTGAATAAATTGTCAACCATGAGCATATTTACAATGTTGATTATAGTCAATTACAACAATATTGAATGTTCTTATAAATTATATTTATGATATTTATAGTATTAGATTGAATAAAAATATTTTTTCCCTAGATATAAGTACCTACAACTTTATAAAATTAAAAGAAATAATTACAATTTTATAACTAAATGAAACTAGTTGTACGAAAATAATAAATAAAACATAAATAAATAAATCCAAAATAATACCATAATAGCTGACAATTATGCTCAAGACTTTTATAGTCTTTAAAAGGGCAATTTAAACAATTAAATAATAATAATAAAAATACATTTAATTAAATTTACAAAGTAATTCACAATAATGTAATAAATTGCATAAGTATATTATATGGATAAATAAACTGCTTACAGTGCTTACACTATTAAATAAAATGTTTCTACAATTTCTTCTAATATTATGAAATCATTGTTTTTTTTTCAGTTAGAGTCTTATAATTTATTATGCAACTCTTGATTTTACAATACTGCATGCACTAATCAATAATAATAATTGATATTGTATATTCTAAAAATTTTGTTTCTCTATAATGTTAAGTTAGGTTCAGATATATATTATATATTAAGTTCAGATTTTGTTTGTAATAATTTTCTTAATTTAATTTATAGTTAGAAAATTATTTTAATACGTATTAAATAACGACAATAACTTTATCCAAACATACTAGCAACAGGCACAATTTTTTTTAAACATTAAATGTTATTAAGTCATTAATAAAATAAAATAAAATAAAACTATTTTCAAAGACTTATTTTAGTTTCATAGCATATAATTATGATTAAGATAATATAACATGTATATTACATATTTTAAACATATTTCTGACTTTTACTATAGAAGATCATTTATCTTAAAATTTACCAATTATTGTTTGTAAAAACCCAAAATACAATAATCATTAATAGGAGATTGGCAAGATTTATTACCAAGATCAATTGTTAAAAGCCAGGGATTTAGAAATTTGCAGCAGTTATTGATTGGGAATTGGGATTACTGGTTTTCGTACTTTTATACATTATATAACTATAAATATATTTTTTTATAGCTATTTCTATTAAAGGTATGAAAGCTTTCAATGATTATTGACATAACAGTTATCATTGATCAGATATATGTATAGATAGATATTACTAGTTTAAAATATATGTAATAAAAACATTATGACATATTATATAATGAATAAGAAACATATAAATCTGAGGACGTTTACAGTTTAACATTGTTATACAGTTATATAGAAGATAAAACTAAATTTATTAGGGACCTCAACTTATTTAAATTGATTATTTATGGTGGTAACCAAAAACTCATTCAGTCTCATGAGGTCTTTTAAAATAAATTTCAATCCATTTGAAATGTTAAAAAATATGTAATAATTACTAATAGCAATAACCTATTACGAAAGTCCCTCAGTGGTTTTGGCGCGACGGATTCGTTGGCTGTTATCACTTGGTGAAATGAATACTTGAGAGTGTTTGGATCGCCGTGGGCTTTGGCGTGTTGGTACCAGCTGTATGCTCTTTTGGCTGGTGAAATTAATATGGTTACCTATATTCACAGACAATAAAAATGTACATCAAAGTCCACACAACAAAATGGTAAGTTACAATATGAGTATAAACAGGGCTGGTTTAAAATATCTGTATACTCTAAAAACTTGAACCACTAGGTGGTCCTGATGGTCTAAACTTTTGAAGATAGAATTATTGGAAAAATATCATCATTTTTAGCAGTAAAGTGTATTAAGCATCAAAACATAATACGAACATTCAATGTCCATCAATTTTTTTTTTTATTAGCTTAAGTATTTTTGAAATTTTTAGGCTCTTGGATATGTACCTTTAACTCCTAATGATTAATTAAACGAATACAATACTATACTTACAAGTTTTACGTTGGGCAGTAGTGCCTGCACCCGTTTGGGCACAATGTCTGAATCAAAATAAGTGGCGGATTTTTCAAACACAATCTTGTTGTCCACAGAGTCATTTGAAGGGAAGAATTGCATGTACCTAGAACCAAATGCATTTATTAAAAATAATAGTGATTAGCAGCTTTTGTTTAAAATGTCACTAACCAATCCAATCCCTTGTAATAGTTACGACCATTGAAGAATTGGATTTCTTCAAATGTTTCTTTGCTTGGAATGTTTGCTGATATGTTTGGGTGCATTGACAGGAATGTGTACAACGCCGTGGTGCCAGTCTTCTGAGGTCCAATAACGAGAAACTTAGGAAGATGCTGGCAAGATTTTTTGTAAGACCAAATCTTAAGATGACGTTGGTCCAGGCAAGGATTCTAAACAATCATTACATATTATATAATGTATGTATATTATATAATAATCGTTATGCTAGTTACTGTTTGCATAGATAACTTTAATGACTTTTGTAACTTATAATTTGTATTAATTATTAACTCTACAACTTCATATAGAATTATTAAAATTGTAATGTATAAAAATAAATAAAATATAATAGTTTAAATATGAAAGAAATTTTTATTTAAAAAATCATGATACAAAAAAAATGTTTTAGTTTTTTTTTTGAAATTGAATTGCTCATCAAAGTTTAAATTAATATTGGGCAATAATACATTCCATCTGTGAACAACCACTTTAATATAAGTCTTCATTATACCAAAGCATTAGAACAGCTGCTTGAAAAACAATAAGAAGAAGCAGTGAAGATAGAACTAGATATGCAAAAACACGGAAAAGCACCGGGAGATGATGAAATAGTATCTGAATGTCTAAAGGAGGCCAAAGTCGGCTGAACCAGCTTCAAAAACTTATGAACACAATCTGGGAAGAAGAAAAGATACCCAAAAAGAAGACATTATGGAGTGTGAAATCATAGAGGGATTTCACTACTCAATACAACATATTATAAACTATTGTCTAATATACTACTGAATAGAATAAATCCTTATATGAAAGAAATAATTGGAGAATAACAAGCTGGTTTATGCTAGGAATATCAACAACAGGTCAAATACATATAGTAAAACAAGTTGATGAAAAGAGTTACAAGTTCAATAAAGATATACATATACTGTTGGTTGACTTCAAAGCAGCATACGACTCAGTCAACAGAGACAAATTATGACAAGCCATGGGCATAATTAGGAATACTAGAGAAGTTAACAACATTAATAAAAGCCTGCACATATAATTCAGAAAGTAAAATAAGTTTTGAAGGAGAATTATCTGAAGAGTTTCCGGTAACGACTGGTCTCAGACAAGGTGACGCATCACCTGCACTGTTGAACATCGCCCCAGAATCAGTTATGAGGGCAGTAATGTCCCAAGCCACGGGCATAGAAATAAAAGACAAACAACATTTAACAGAAGTTGCTTACGCGGATGTTATAGTCTTCTTAGAAAAAACAGATAACCTAAAACACACAGCAAATATCTCGCTTAAGGAGGGGAAAAAATTGGCTTAAAATTTAATGAGACAAAGACAAAATACATATTGTATCTAGACAAAATCACAGAATAGATTCTTTAAAAGTAAACGAATATACATTTGAAAGGATAGGAAATTTTAAACAATTAGGTGCAGATATTAATTAAGATGTTAATAACAATGAAGAAGTTAAAAGAGCCCTCAGTAAACAGGTGGCCAGATAAGATACGATAGACTTTTTCCGCTATAATAATAACGCTATCGAACGTGTGATCGACGAGTTTTCGTGAGTGTGCAAGTCTAATGTAATATGTACTGCTGTTCTACTGTACCAGTAGAAAACTGGTTATCGGATAGCTAGATATTTGTAGCACTACCGACTATAACACCTTAAACCACCAAACTTTAAAGAACTGTATCTAGCAAACCAAATAACGAAAAATAAAAATTTTAATGGGAAAATTCATAAAAAAATAGTTTTATTAATTTATGACCTTTTTTTTCTTATTTTCCTGTTTGAAAATCAAAAGTTGATAGTATTTCACTAATAAATATAAGGGTGAAAAAATTAAGATATTACACAGTTTTAAAAAAGCATAAATCTAAAAGTTTAAACAAAAAAAATTCAAAAAAGTTTATCTTCTTTGAAATAATTAGTGCACCCTCTTAAATGGATCACCCTATATATGCATTTAATAACTAAAGTATACAATTGAAAGAAGGTACCTACCAAATACCAATGTAAAGTAAACAAACATTTTTATTTTCCTGATAAATATAAATGAGTGGATGCCTCACCCACAAAAACACCACTGCCGTCTTATAAGTTATAGTTAAAGTATCCAATTATAATAATCAATTTAATGCATTGTTTCTATTAAAGGATAATATACACATACATTCACATATATGACGAAAATGTCGTTATATTCACATGTGTTGCTTCCGTCTTACAAATGTACAACATAGCAAAAACCTTTTGATATGTTGTACACTTATAAGACCGACGCAACACATGCTGGTATAGCGTTCTCTTAAGAGGAATGCTCAATGATAAGAGTACACATATTTTTTTTATGGGGCAATATAATATTTATATAATATGCAACCAAATATAAACTCAAGCTAACATCACATGTATATACTTCATCTCATACAATGCAGTAGGTATACGTTAAGACACAAGACGATATAAATGCAAAAACTAGGACAAAAACGAGGATTATGCTCAGCATACTTCTTATTACTTATACTTCGATTATATTGACGTATATAATTATATGGCAATAACACATACACACTAAAATATATTACAATAAACTTACACCCCACACTGGATCAATTTCTTCTGGATACATCTGAAAATATTTGTCTGCCAGTTCCAGGGGTCCTGATGATACCAATTTCAAATTTGTCCAGCACCTGATGAACTGAAATACCGACTCGAAGGTATATAACGCCAGCCGGTCACTGCCGTAATTGGACATGTGGCTCATGAATACGTTGATCTAGAAAACAATGTTATCGTTTTTATCATCGACAGCACATTGTTTACACTTAGTGCAACTAAATTTGCTTATTAAAAAGTTTTTAATAAAATATATACACTAGGAATGAATAATTTTAATAATAATTATAAAAAAAAGGTAATACAATGTGCGATGACCATATTCTCTCGAAATTTACATTTAAATAGTGTTAAATAGACAAAAAAATATCTGTTGTGCAGTTTTTTGTAGTTTTAACTACACTTACGGGGTTATAAACAATGGTTTGAAATAGTTCACCACCCATTATGGATTCGTCCAGTTTTTTGCGTCCTCCCGGGTACCGGTCAACATAGATGGTATGCGTGAACAAGCCACAAGTCTGCCTAGGCAATACCTAAATGCAAAATAAAATCCATTAGTATTATTTTTCATTTATAAATGAAATCGAGATGCCATATATATGGAACAACATTATGCAGTGGTCGGGTAAGCATTTACAATAATTGTTTTATCTACAAAAAAAATGCTGGCAAGAATGCAAGCTATACCTAGGGCAAATCATTTAATAGTGAAAAATAGGCAAATCATAATTTTAACCCTGTGGGAGGACATATTCAATTTCTATGTAAAAAAATCATAAAATTTTGAAATTTAATTATAAGAACTATTTAGACACTTCTAAATAATATTCAAAGAAAAAAAAATAATTCTAGGAGTGAAAGGGTTAAAATGAAGGTTTGCTCGACTTTACAAAAGTGTTTAAAACATTCAAGCTGGGCCTTATATATAATATATATATTTATGTGTGTGTGTGTTACGTCAAAATTACGAATACTGTTGAAACCTAGGATTTACTGGTAAATCCTAGGTTTCTCCTACTGCTGTCGGTAAATGTCCAACATTTTTGGACATTTACCGATTGATTTCGGTAAAATAATTTGGCTAAACCCCGAATGATTTTTGTAGTTCAGACTTTAGCAAACGAGGTTTGGTTAATTTTCGGATAAACAACTAGTGTCAGTAAAAGTCCACCATTTTTGAAAATTGTGTGATATTTTTTCCCTTGCATCATACTCGTATACAAGTATACGTATACTTAAAAGTAATAATTAATATTGTTTAAGTATATATATTAGGACATTAGGTACTACATTAGCTAATACTCAATTCTCAAAGATTTATGTAACAATCATGGTAATAATATCTGAAGAAAACTGGAAAATTTTTTTATGATCAATCGAATATAGGACTTTAAAAATATAAAGTATACTCGGCGCACGTTAAGATCATGATCAGTCGCGGCTTCCGAGCATTGAAAACAACTTCCTACACCGTGAGCGATGCGGTGGAGGAAGTTGTTTTGAATGCGCGACTGGTAATGATCTTAACGTGTGCCGAGTATAGGAAGTTATATATTTTCTGGACACTAATATTTTCGTTGATTGAAATCTTCTAGTCTTTTTGGAATATATAGTTTACATTTTTAATACTTGAACAATTCAATGAAAACATTTTAACCAGGAAGTCAAATTATTCTTAATTATTTACAACACCATGTCATTTTACCTCTTTAAACCTGTGTCAGGGATCGCTACACTAAATTCTATTATATATTAGATACACACATTTGTATTATTATTAAATATCCCTGCAAAAATGAAATTGCACCGAGATGCAAGTGATATTTTACTGCGATTGACTTAGGTAATTTTCATTTCGACTTTAATATAAATCATAAAAAAGGAAGACTTCGACACAGCAAAAATTCAAACATTTACCGACAGTAGTAGGTGAAACCCAGGATTTACCAGTAAATTCGAGGTCCCACCGCTATTCGTACTTTTACAGTAATATATTATTATATAATAATAAGTTGAAGGTTAGATCTGCTTGATACTCGCCTTAATGCTACGATGGACGAATCCTCTCCTCAGCCTGGCAGGCCTCAGATGCGGATATTCTTCAGTCGAAGTCACTCGAATGTTCCAGACCTTCTTCCAAACGGTATATAACAGTTCATGTACCGGATAAACCCCGGAATGGTGGGGTGCTACTGAGTAGCTGGAGTTAGTCGGTATCCCATGCGCCTGTGACACGATAATTAATAATTAATTTTTTTTTCTTCGGTCAGTTAGTTTTAGTATTAGTCGTACATATCCTTATATACATTGTACATTCAAAAATTATGTTTTTTTTTAAGAATTTAGGTAATAGTTTGTTGTTTGTTTAAATCTATAAATATATAAACCGCACACAACAATAACAGGTAACTAGTATAGCCATTGACAACTCACCTCGGCAAATGCCTTGTTCAGTGACATCTCGTACTCCAGATGCGTTTCATTGTTGTACAGATGTGGTTGCATGTGATTCCACATGTGACAAAACCAGTTGAACTTATCAACATTTTCTGCGAATCATAGTTATTTTTTTATGATAGATATATAATATTAGGTATGTAGAAACATTTTCAAAAAACGTTGTTATTGAGTAAACATTAGTGAAGCTCACCCAATATCGTATCGTCCCCTTCGTTTTCCTCCCATGTGCCCCGATGGAAATATTTTCCAGAAAATCCCAAGTTGAATTTAAATCCAGGCACCAGCTGGCGTATCCGATCTTGAGTCTTAATCAAGTCCTAGTTAAGATAAAAACAAGCGCATTACAAAAATGATATAATATCATGTTTATAATAAAATTTTGAGTAATGGGTGACATTATTCTAACGTAATAGGCAATATAGGTATTTTAGTCACAACGTTTTTACCATAGATTTATGTAGATAATCATAACATTATAAACAATATTATATTATGTTACAAACAAAAAATTGCATTAATTACAATTAAATTATAATATACTGGCGTGTCTTAGGTGTAAGGCCATTAACCATACAGGCACCATGTAGACGAGTGCCTGGGTGCTGAAACATCGATTGAAATTTGTTTGTAATGCTAAGCACCCTAAACAAATTTGGATTAAGTTTTGTAATTTTCTTCAAATAAAAATTAATTATTTCGAAAAAGCTTTTTATTTAAGGAATACATTTGATAAATGTATGATTGTACTATGAATGAAACAGCATACATGTATAGAGCAATAGTATCATTATGTTTATGTATTGTCGATGATAATTTAGATGTATCAGAACTGTTTTCAGGGGGTTTTGATCCAAGACTAACAAATTATCTGACTTTTCTTACCTTCATTACAGATGTTCCAACTAAATTTAAACTATTAAGACATGGTTTGGAGGAAAAGGTTAACTCATAATTTTCAGAAATCTTTCGATATTTTAGCTAATATGTTTTTTTGTGATTTTGTTTTTAACAACAGTCAATTAATTGGAAATATGGGATTGAAGGGACCACTGCCCCATACGACCTCCTGGAACTGCCCCTGTAACCGATAGCGGCCACATCGCTATTATTAAGAATGAGTGGTTAAAGACTTTACAAACACAAAATTTGTTAAGGGGGGGGAGGGGGCTTTACACCTATAGTCTGTCCCACGAGAGAATAATCACTTTTCACATATCACGAATGATTCGATTGGCGCGTCGGGAACCACGTGATCAAGGGACCTGGAAGTTGGTGGGAGGTGCGTAGCACTAACGATAATCGGTCGGTGGACTGATTATTCTCTCGTAGGACAGAGTATAGAGCACCAAATGATTTATGAAATAAAGGAATAAAGGGGAGGAGTGGTTGTGCGTTGTAACAGTTGAGAGAGTATATAAAAAAATCTTACGTGGACGTCATCCTTCCACATCCGGATGCCGCTCTCGCCGACGAATATATCGTCGATGTCCACTAGCACCTGTCGTTCGAGTGATATGCTCAGCAATCCCTTACTGAGGTACGACAGCGAGTCGAGGAACAACAGCCGGTGCAGCCAAAAGTTAAGCCCGTTGCCGAACAACACCCTCGATATCCCATCGAACATGCCATGATCTTGCATGACCGTGGCAAGAGGGACGTATTCAGCCCGTCCACCGCTGCTGTTGCTGCCCCAGGCCACTGGTTCATACGTCGTGTGATTGGCGGTGAACACGGACCAATCGTCGCCTGGCAGAGGCCCTTGGTACACGCCACCCGCTCGGGCAACCCTCAACACCGGCGACGCTGAGTTCAGCATGGCATCCTATAACGCACGAAACATAATATACTATTTACATTTTGTATTTTATCTAAAGACAAGTAAAAATGATATAGGTAAAACAGAGTGTAACAGAAAAACTTGGCAAGTACAAATTCAAATTAATACTATTTAAACGTATGACCAAAATATAAAAAATATACAGATAGTAAATAATTTGTGATATTATTACTATTATTATTATTACTATTATCATTATTATTATTACTATTACTTTTCTACTCATGTTAGAGGTTATGTTTGTTGTTTTTTTGATGTAAGTTGTCTCGTGTGAACGTGGGACGCACGTCGTTCCTAACTTACTTTATTAGTATGTATGTATATTGAAGTTACTGAAAGTAATAAATTGTTGTAAGTGAAAGTTGTAGTTATTTCTTACATCAGAAGTGGGATAAAGATCGAATGTTAATTATGGATGGTCAGATGAATGCGGATAAAAATGTCGACGTCGAGACGCAGTACTCTACGGATGAAGTGAATCGTGTGATCTTCGGCCAGAGTACTCAGAACACTCAGAGCCATGTAAAGGAAGACGGGAATACGATTTTGATGCAGACATTACTCAAACAGAATGAGTTACTAATGAGGATGTTAGCGATAAAGGAGAAACCGCCAGAGGAGGTATACGCTCCACCGGACTTTTCAAAAGTACTACCAACGTTTGATGGTAAGTGTAAGCCCCAAGAAGCGGCGGATTGGCTGAGCACGCTCTATGGAGTGGCGACATTACATCGTTGGTCGGATGTACTCAAGTTAGAGGCGGCGAGAGTAAACGTGGATGGTCCAGCCCGCCAATGGTATATTGGGCGAAGATTCAATTCATGGGCAGAATTTGAACAGCAGTTTAAAGCAACGTTCTTCAGAAAGGTTAACACGGGCAGTCGATGGAAGGCATTGGCAGCGCGGGTACAAGGTAAAAACGAAAGCATTCTAGACTACTTCCATGAAAAGGTTCGACTTTGTCGAGATTTGGAATTAGATTTGTTTGATACCAAGGAACAGTTATTAGACGGCATCCAGTCGAAAGAATTATTTCAATATTTGTTAAGCCGTACGCATAATGACGAAAATGAGTTACTATTTGACATTATAGACTACATGCGGTTAGTGGAGCACAGAAATGTTAGATTTCAAAATAAAATAGTTTTTTCCAATTCAAATGAGAAGCAGTGGCCCAGAGGAGAAAGTCCTAAACCCAAAGCGGAAAGTTTGAGTAGGAGTCAAAAAGGTGTTGAGACAGCAACAAGCCGGATATGTTACAACTGTGGATCCAGAACACACATTGCGCCAAGTTGTCCCAGTCCGGTAAGACCAAAAGGAGCATGCTACGGTTGCGGTTCAACAGCACTTCAGCGATCAGCGTGTCCGGAACGTGATCAGAAAAATAGGAATGACACTAATGAAAAATCTCGACGACAGAACGAGCGGCAACCTAGTGGATCAGCAGGAGAGATCAGACTGTTAGAGCCAGCATATAATGTAAGGGTAAGTATAATATTATGTAAGGAGACTGTTACTGTTAATGCATTGGTAGATAGTGGTAGCCCAATTTCTTTAATTAAGTCTCATCTCATCCGGACTAGTGAACGAAAATCGTTTAATAATGATATTTTTATTTCGGGCATCAACGGGTCTCAATTGAGTATTGAAGCGGTTGCTAATGCTACGGTTTTATTAGTTGATTATGATTTAAGTAAGAAACAAATATTTTATGTGGTAGATGATCAGACTATGTTATCCGAATGTTTATTGGGTAGAGATTTTATTAAGGGGATGAATATTTGGTTTGGTGAAGATGGTAGGATTATGGTAAATTCGAAGCAAGAACAGTGTAATGGTAATGACTTCTTGGTTGACTTAGGGTTAATAGAGTATGAGTTGGAAGATGAGGTGGAATTGAACATAGGTGAGGTACCATTTAGTGATAGATGTAACTTGAAAAAAAAATATGATAACTGTTACTCAAAGGTGTTAAAACCAGAGACTCCTGAGATAAACTACGAAGTCAATATAAGTTTGAAAGACCACACTCCTTTTAATTACCAACCTCGAAGATTGTCTTATGTAGAAAGGAATGCAGTGAAGGACATAATTTGTGAGTTATTAGATAAAGGTATTATAAAGGAAAGTAAATCTGAATTTTGTTCTCCCATAGTATTAGTCAAAAAGAAAGATAATACATATCGAATGTGTGCGGATTTGAGAGAATTAAATAAAAGAGTTGTGAAAGAGCATTACCCGATTCCACATATAGATTATCTATTAGATAATTTAAGAGGGAAGGTCTTCTGCACAAAGTTAGATTTAAAGAATGCCTATTTCCATGTGAAAGTATCGGAACAGTCGTCCAGATATCTCTCTTTTTCAACATTTTTGGGGCAATAAGAGTATGTCCGATTGCCTTTCGGGTACTGCAATAGTCCCTCAGCATTTATGAGATACATTGAAACAGTATTTAGAGAATTAGTTAGGTCTGGAAGGTTATTAGTTTATTTAGATGATTTGTTGATAGCAACAGAAACTATAGCAGAAAATTTGGAGATAATAAAATCGGTATTAATAGCATGTAATAATAATTTACTTGAATTGAGGGAAGATAAATGTTTTTTTCTGCAGTCAAGGATAACATATTTGGGTTGTGTGGTGAAAAAGGATGGAGTGAGACCTGGTCCGGCTAATGTAGCAGCAGTGACACAATTCCCAATACCTAAGTCAACAGCCGATGTACACAGCTTTGCAGAGCTAGTCAGTTATTTTAGGAAATTTATTGAAAACTTTTCCATTTTGGCAGCACCACTGTATGTGCTAAGGAAGAGAGCTCAATTTAAGTTTGGGGAGAAGGAGTCACAGGTCTTTGAGTTGTTAAAGAATAAGTTGGTACAAATGCCGATTTTGGCATTATATTCCCCTACAGCTGAAACCGAAGTACATTGTGATGCTAGTGCGTTGGGTTATGGAGTGATCCTATTACAGAAACAGAAATACGGTTTAATGCATCCTGTGTTTTATTATAGCAAGAGAACCACTGAGGTAGAAGCTAAATATCATAGTTATGAATTGGAGTGTTTGGCATTAGTGTATGCAGTGGAGCGTTTTCATGTTTATCTCAATGGTATTAAGTTCAAAGTGTTCACTGATTGTGAAAGTTTTAAGTTGACTATGAACAAGAAAGATATGAACCCTCGGATTGCAAGATGGGCGTTTTTATTTCAGAATTATGATTTCAGTATTGAACATCGTGCAGGAAGTAGAATGAAACACGTTGACGCATTAAGTCGGAATACCAATATATTAATGCGGTATGAAAATACTTTTGAGCAAACGTTGTCGATTAAACAAATTGAAGATAAAGATATTGACAAGTTAAAAGAGCGGTTGAAAAAATGTGAGGATAAGTACTTTAAAATGAGAAATGGTTTGGTATATAGGAAGTATAAAAGTGAGCTGTTGTTTTAAGTCCCTAGTAGCATGGAGGATAATGTGATAAGGTCGGTGCATGAAGAATATGGTCATTTGGGTGTAGAAAAAACCAGTGAGGTAATGTTGAGAACATTTTAGTTTCCTAATTTGAGAGAAAAAGTAAAAAGTTTTATTTAAAATTGCTTAAAATGTATTTCATATTCGCCAGTATGTGGTAAGAAGGAAGGTGAGTTGCACCCTATACCTAAGACTCCAATACCGTTTGATACAATCCATATCGACCACTACGGTTCACTTGAGAAGACCGGTAAGAAAAATAAATATTTGTTTGCAATCATTGATGCGTTTACAAAATTTGTTAGATTATATCCTTGTAAAACGACAATCACGGTAAAAGTATATGAATGACTACTTCAGGTGTTATAGTATACCCAGAAGGGTAATATCTGACAGAGGTTCAACGTTCACATCTAATGCATTTAGAGAATTCTTAGACCAGAAAAAAATAGATTTGGTATTAGTGGCAACGGCAACACCCCGGGCAAATGGTCAGGTCGAGAGAGTTAACCATTGTATAACAGCAATGCTGGCGAAAAAGACAGTAGATTTAAATAGGTGGGACAGGGTACTGCATGAGGTCGAGTACGCATTGAACAATATGTCATGTGCTTCGACGGGTGAAGCCCCATCTAAGTTATTATTTGGTGTATATCAAGGTGGTACGGTGGAAGGTGAGTTTAGGAGGTTATTGTTGGAAGTGGATAAAGACAGAAACTTGGAGGAAATAAGAAAAGCGGCTAAGGACAAGATAGTAAAAAACCAATCATATAACAAAAAATATTATGATGAGAAACATAAGAAACCTACCTTATATAAAAAAGGAGATTTTGTTGTGATTAAAAATACAGATGTTAGTGTGGGGGTGAATAAGAAATTAATACCTAAATTTAAGGGCCCATATATAATAGACAAAGTATTACCAAATGATAGATTTATAGTCAAAGACATTGAGGGTTTTCAGCACACTCAGGTGCCTTATGAAGGTGTGATAAGCTCAGATAACATGAGACATTGGGTTAGGAGCTTGGAAAAATGATCCTTTACTATATTTCATGTATTATGATTATGTTATTATTTATTGATGTTTATATTAAAATTGTACTGTTTACTTATTATTTATTTATTTATTTTTTTTTGTGGTTAATTAATATGTTATGTACGATGTACTATTATGAATGTAATATCCTATTATGTATTGTTATAATATTGTTCAGATGTTATTAGAAATTATGATGTAAAGTTAAAAATATTGTGTAGTGATCCCAGGGACTGGGATAGGTCAGGATGGCCGAGCTGTGATATTATTACTATTATCATTATTATTATTATTATTATTATTATTACTATTATCATTATTATTATTATTATTACTATTATCATTATTACTATTATTATTACTATTATCATTACTATTATTATTACTATTATCATTATTATTATTACTATTACTTTTCTACTCATGTTAGAGGTTATGTTTGTTGTTTTTTTGATATAAGTTGTCTCGTGTGAGCGTGGGACGCACGTCGTTAATAACTTACTTTATTAGTATGTATGTATATTGAAGTTACTGAAAGTAATAAATTGTTGTAAGTGAAAGTTGTAGTTATTTCTTACAAATTTAAGAAATATACTTATACAGAAAATTCTAAAAAATAATATTTTGAAAAAAGCTAAGTTTCAAATTAATTTAGAGAAGTACTCTAAAAACTATTGATAATTTCAAAAATAAACTGTTTAACTTAAATATATGTTATGATGACCAAAATTTGTCGAAACATTAGATTTACATAATTGGCTATTTAAAAAAAAAATGTTTAGGTACTATACTTGTACCGAAAGCGTCTATAAATTATGTAGGTATAAAACAAAAACAAGGAAAGACGTGTTTCTTTATTTTTAACGAGCTATGTTTTTAAAACAATTTCAAAATGTCTGAACACGCAGTTGTACCAATATCAAAATCAACTTTATTTTTTTCAAATGGTAACAATTATATTTTTTAATGGATTCTGGTAAAGCTTTTTTCTGAAAATGTTGATAGACAAATCATCAATTTTGGATCACTAGTTTATAAATTATGGTATTCTAAAGTTCAGTAAATGAGTAAATACTTTGAATTGAAATAATGGGTATACATTTAATTTATAAGCGCTAAATAATATTTTCCTTTAGCAATTTTTACACTGAAGTCGGTTATCTAATGAAACACTACTAAAAAAATTTTTGGGATAAATGCCTACAAAATTGTTGGCAAACATATTACATTGTTTTTTATTAACATACAACCATCAAAATAAGTATTATTATCAGGGTTGGGAGTGAATAGCACTTATAATTGAACAAATATGCATGTCAACAAGTTCAACGACTATTCAATACATAATTATATTGAACTATTTGATTGAGAGCTATTTTTATTATTAAACATTGTACTAGATTTTCATAGGTACTTATTATTTCAGCTTTTAAAAAATTCATAAAAAGATCACTGACCAATCTTAAGTTTGATGTTGAACATTAACACAAACATATGGATATCTTAAATCTTTACTGGAGAAAATTGATGATAAGCTTTCGGTTCAGTCAAACATTTTTGCTATAACTTATGCCACTAATGACATGACAATAATCAAAAATGACGCCAATCTTAACAAAATAGAAGACAGATTAACAATTGATTCATTGTACAGATCTACTGTGGTATGTAACTTAAAATACTAATAAACAAAAAAATCATCAATACATCTAATACACAAGTATTAATTTTAATTTGTAATAATTCGGCACAATAATTTTTTTAATACTTTTATGTTGGTACCTAATCATTTTTTTTTTTTGTATCACATTATTTCTATTTTCTATCAGAAATGATTTTCTTTAAATAGTAAACGATATTAAAGAAGTTCAGATAAAATTTAACATTTAAATAAGTAAAATAAAATGCATCTAGGTAATTATATAATTCGACTAAAACAAAAATGGTATACGTCATTATAGGTATCTATATTGAAAATAATACTTAATGTGTACCTCATAACATCGTTACTTATAAAATAGATATTTGCAAAATGATGCAAAAGTTGTTTAGTGACACATTTCTCATGAAATACGCTTATATTGGTTTTAAAGGAAAACATCAATTTTCAACATTACAAAGTTGCAGTATTTCATTAGGTAAGTGAAAACAAATATTATAAATAAATTATATATAACAATTTTTGTAGAAGCTATTATAAGAAAAATTTATGAAAAAAAAAATCTATACTCTATTCACAAATATAATGCAACTTGTTTAAGCCCAACGCTGGAATAGCAGTGGGTATGAGCAAGAATTGTTCTCTAGTTTTGGTCTCTGCCCAGTTGCAGTCTAATCTTGAACAGAGTATAGAACTACAGTTGTAACTTAGCATTACTAAGGTTAACCAAATAGTGACTCAACATTATATATTTAATTAATACTATTTGGAGGAATTTTAATTGTTTTTATCTTTAAATATTGTTTCCATATAGTTACCATACTAAACTGTAGGGTTTAGTAATTTACATCATTGGATCATATACCTACGTATACTTGGTCAATTTAAATTGTATAATTGAATATACTGTAAGTTGTTAATAGGGATTTACACAACTTGCTTGAATTAGTAACTTTTTGTCCAATAATTTTTTGGCTAATTTCATACATGGCTACCAATGTTTTGCACCCAGATTTAACAAATTACTTATTAGTTCTATAACACCTACTTTAACCACATTATTTAATTTTTTATACATCTTGTCTTTATATTTCCTATTGATACGTTATGTTTCAAATTTATATAAGTATCTAAAATAATAAAATAAATGTATACAAGTCACTTTTCCAACTAAAAATCACTTTATTTATATATTAAAACACTTAGGATCACTTTTGAACATTTGTTTACATTATATAATGCATATATGATACATGAAAATTGAAAAACAATATTTTTATGGTGTTAACAAAATTGCCCTTTAACAATTTTTGATTCTGAATGAAGCAAAGAAACTAGAGTATTTCCAATGATTGTTATTATTTTTTTTTTTTATTAACATTTGGGAGTAGAAATATAGTTCCAACATTATTATCTAACATTTTTATGGATTTGAAATAGCATGACAATTTTACTTTAGAAAGGTCATTTCCGAAACTCTCATTAGTGCTTCCACAATTTGAATAGAAAGAGTTAAAATAAAATAAAATTACATGAACTCATTTATTTTATTTATTTTTTACCAATATAAGGTTGATATTTTAACACTGTGAAATATGTTTATGTATTTTAATGTCTATATGTAAACATCTTAAATAAAATAGGTAGGTATGTATCTTTTATATTAAGGTATAAAAACACTAAAATTAATTTATAAACTTATTTTTCCAAAATAGAATAAATTATTTTAAGTTTATATGAAATAAGTAGAGGACCAACATTTGGTGGTATACCATTGGTATACCAATAGTCCTCTAATCGCTTATCGAACTTACTTATAAAGTTTTAAGTTACAATTATTAAAAGCTGTACCAAACATATCATTAGAAATTAGATTTTTGTAAGATATTAATAATACTCCTAAAAATATTTTGCATGTGAATATAGAATAAAATATGAATGTTATCATTCAAAAAAGTAAGACATTTAAAAAAATAACGGCGAAAAGATATACAAAATTGTGTTCTTTTCAAAATTTTTGTTTTTTTATATCATCGAATAATTTGAGTTTGGAAAAACTAGAAGGTGATAGAATTGTTATGTTTCAAGTTATCAATGCCGAATAATTTTTTTTATATATATTTTAAATCAGTCAATGGGTGTGAGGGGGGGGGGGGGTTGAAGCACTTTTAGTCTCTCCCCTCCTAGGTATGCCAATGGTTTATACTTTATAGCCAGAGTGGTTTTCAGCCATGTGAAACTTGGTTTTCAACAAACAATTTATAAACAGATAAGGGTCATCCTCTTAACCAAGAAAAAAATGTATAAATTGTATTATTATTATATAGTTTGATACTATCAAGGACCAAGTAATATTCATATATACAAACCCTGAGAGATAGTTTTGTGTGCAAGTACAACGGAAACCCTTTGACCTTGACGCTGGTCATGTGGCGGTTGGCTGGCGGAAAAAATCCCAATATGCCGACCCCGTATTCCCTACAATACTTGTCCAACAGCTCTCTGTTCCATTTGTCCATGTTCAGGTACCGGTGGTAATTCTCGAACACGATGACGGAATATCGGCCTTTGTCCAAATTCGTCAGCGCCGGTAACGATTTGCCGGCCACTTCCATTTTATATCTGCAGCAGTGATATAAAACATATTATAATACATGTGTGAACGTAATACGATGCACGTAGGTATATTATATTATATTATTATATAAATTATATATGATATGCCAACTCAAATTAAAAAAAAATCGTAAAAGGGCCGCCGCCGCGTATTATACTCCTTCTGCACTTTGTCGGCGTGATACCGACCGGCCATTCCCGAGCAACCATTGTACATATTATATTATAGGTACTTACATGGCCCATTATGTCGTACATAATGTATCTATATATGATATATTATTATATAGGTATACGATGGATGGTATGAAATTAACGAGTGTGTAATGTGTACAATAATAATAGGCAATATATATATATATATATATATCGAATAAGAAGAATGGGCACTATATATGTGTATATTATTATGTTTACGAGCGAGTCAAGTTTCACCGCCCGCACGTGTGAGCGAGAGAAAAAAACCATAGGCAGGTGAGAGATGTGTGCGTGTGGTGACGAGAGATTGATAGAGAGAGAGAGAGAGAGAGATAGAGAGAGAGAAGCGGATTGCAGAGACGACGACTCATACCGTCCATATACCGCCGGGCGCCAAACGCATTAAATATTATTATATTATAGCGTAGTTACACGTCCTGCGCAGCTCTCCTCGATAGAAATTGTTGTTGCTGTTGTTATTATTATATTTTTTTTTCGCCCCTGTCTCAAAATAAATCTCCGATTCATTATGGTGCGATAATTTTGGCACACACGTTCGACAAAACGCCAGTACTGCCGCCGACAGGGAAAGGACAGCATATTATAGCATATACGAAGGGTCTTATATTTCACACATGCCGTCACGTTTTTATAAATCACTTACATGCCCTTAATGGACAGTTGTAAATCCCACCAATATTTAGGTTTCCTGCCGAAACGCCACAGATCATATGAGATTCGAAAAAAAAACCATCACGTAAACCCTAAAGGTGGTACCGGCTTTTTATTGTTATTGAATTGTATACATAATTTGTATTCGTTTTCACTTTATAAATGTATAACTTTATAACTTTATTTATAAATATTTTAAATTATATATCTTGTAGGGAACATAAGAATTTGATGAAATATTTAAATCAGATTGCTCCACGATTCACTGGTATAAGAAAAATTGCTTGTAAAAAATATAAGTATCCAATATCATAATGATTCAAAAAAAAAACTATAAGATCTAAACATCAGAAATAAAATTTAAATAACCATATTTTATACTTATTAATTATTATACTTAATATTTTTGTGACACGACAAAGAGTCAACCTCCATCCCTTATAATATATAATAACTGTACACTGTAATAGGCACCATCATAATTGCCACTCTCGTTCAGTCTCGTATCAAAACTTAACGTCAGTGGAGCGGCGGTTTTCACAACTCTCGACCATAGATATATACAATGATGTTGAATATATCCATGCTCTCGATGAGAACTGCACGCAAATCGTTAATGTCAAACAAATACGTCGGCGACAGAGGCGGATTTTTTATTAAAGTCGCTGTACAGCAGCACACGCCATAATATTATGTACCCACACACGGCGACCGCGGCAAAGTGAACAGTTTTTAGTTATCGTTTCGTCTAAGATTATAAACATTATACTTCCGACGAAAATCTAATACGATGCGACGTGATACGATATCCCACTCGCGTTATTTTCCGCGGACCAGATTTAATGAAATAAGTTTTCACAATATACCATATACGACATTACATGACGTATATATCATATATATATAATATATATATATATGTGTAGCCGACGACAGTCGAAAGTGCCAAGGTTACTCTTGGCGACGTGTATCTAGGCGAAAAAGAAAAATGTCAATATATAATATTGTGTACCTACGTCATATTAATAAAATATAAACAATACATATATAGGGTTTATATAAAATGTGAACGAGTAGTTACTAAGTTAGTAAAATGTTAATAATGTGGATAATAGAGACATAAAGTTATTAAAAATAAACAATAGTTGCGGAAAAATTATTCAGGTCAATATTATAACATCACAGTTGCTTACAGAGTTTTTTTAATAAAATCCATGGGAGTTGTGGACACAAATATTTCAAAAATTTTCACTTCGTTAGGTGACAAAAACGGCCGACCGAAAAATGTTTTTAAAAAGTTTCTCTTTTCATACTCAGAACTATATACTTCAGCTAGACCTTATGACTGTATTTTTCTGTACCAATAGCTTGTCCGAGATCCGACGTCCTTTTATTTTGCTCATCGGTCATACTATATGAACAGCTGAGTGGATATAAATTGTTTAAAATTTATATGAAAAGTGGTTATTATAGTATGGGTAAACGTTGTTTCAAAAACTCTAGTGCTGTTCAATAATCAGTCATTGATTTACCCACCAACCAACAGAAAAAATAATGTTACGTAAACTGATAAAACATATTTTTTGACAGCCGCCTCAAAAGCACCGGCACAATCTTAATGCTTATAAATAATCAGTCCAACTATATGTCAATCACCATTTACACATCGTCTATGTCAATCACCATTTACACATCGTCAATATCAAACAGTAATTCCCCAACGTCAATAATCGTTGTATCAAAAATAATAATTGGATATTTGTCAGCAATTCATATGTTACCTTTTTAGGTTTCGTCCGCAACTCGCATGGTTTTTGTCACTTATTAGTCCGCAATTAGGCAACACCGATTAAAATGTTGAAATCATCTCAGCAATCACATTTTACAAACAATCCAAACCCATTATCATGCACATATTATCCTTAGCACACTAAATTCAATAATTCAACAACTACTCGTCAAAATTTAACAATTCTGATTTTCAGAAATATTTTCCTTTAGATAATTTTATTTAATGTAGAAAACTGGGTTCCTCATTCAAAAAATAGAAGTTTTTATCCAAACAAGGCACTATCCATAAACAGAACAAATGATCTTAAGAATTTGAAAATATTAAAAAAATAGTCTAAAAATTCAAAAAATCAAATTGATTCTGACTGGAGCTATGAATAATATATATTGATTTTACAACGATAATATGTATTATTTTATTTTTTCATTTTTTTTGTGTGTGTCTGTCTTCAACACCTTTTGGGGCAGTAAAATGAAACTGTAGTTGATTCGTTAAGTAGAGATTTTCTTCAACAGCATCTTTACTGGTAGGAAAGTGAATCTAGTTGGTACTTTGGGGGTCAAAACTAAAAAATTCCCAATTGTTTTCAAAAACGGCAGGAAAAACGGGAATTTTCACAGAAAACCGGTTTTTGAAAAAATCGATTTTGGTTTTTTTATGTAACTCTAAAAAATATACCATGGATACATGAAATTTTCACCGAATGTACATATCTGCATTTTCTATACACCATACAATTTTAAAAATATTTTGACTCTTGTTGAACTATTTATAGGCACATGCAATTTTCGATTATTAGTTTTTTTTAAACTAAAGTCAATAAAAAATTGTTGCTTGGTCAAAAAACTTGTTCATAATATATAATATATAATACTATATTATAGTAGGTTGTTGTTACTGGAATGAATGACTGTAGACTTGACACAACATATTTTTTATGATTAAAATCACAGTTTTATGAGCTTTAAATTTAATAAAATCTACTTCGCAAATCTCGATCATCGGCAAGGCAACCGGCTAAAGGCGATCACTCTCCGAGAACGAAATTCACCCGGATCAATGTACATTTCTGTACGGCACTTAATTTGTTATATTACGATTGTATGAATATTATTATTATCTATAATATATAAAACTAATGAGTGCTTGATAATCATTGTACTTGGTCATAATAATATAATAATATAATAATTAAGATTCTATTGTTGTAGCAGTCGTGTATACACAAATGATAACGTGACGACTTGAAAATGTTATACGTACCTACTTTATAATTGCATACAATTACAATTTTAATGACTAAGTATATACCGTATACAAATTTTTTAGTTACGAATGAACATGCAACTATACGGTTCAAAAAATACTGAAATCGTTATTAAACATTTACAAAAACAAACAAATAAAAGCCGAATATAGTATTATGGATTTTTTTTTATCCAATATCATTGTTAGCCATATAATACTATTTCATAATAAAAACCGAAACCTAATTTATGTCATAGGTAATAATTAACATATTATTATGTAGAAAAAAACTTGTAAGCGAGTATAATCAGCCTATAGTTTTATTTCACTTAATGCTTGGCATGACCCACTGTGTCTGCATGTGAATAGTATAATATGGGTATATATACAATATCTTTTCATTGTATATATGATTTCGAAATTGCTTCCGTTGTTCGTCATTTCGTAGCGCTCGTAAACACTGGCTTTGAACAATAGTTCTGGACAAAACATTTTGTATTTTTTTTTTTTTTTTGAACTGTTATCATCTATACTATTGTAGCATAAACGACAAAAAAAAATGATGCATGCATGGAGTTCCAGAGAGGGAACAATGTTAGCGATTAAAATTGATCCAAAATGAATGTCGATTGTATAATATATATATATAATGCCAATAGGTATAATTAATTAGATCCATTCAAACGTGTATATTCAGGCACGAATAATCTGTATCTCGGACAATAGTAACATATATGTTACCAGATAGGTAGAGAAAAACAATTACATTGTAGATTCTACCCCGATGGTGCCACCTACATAAAGATTTGGCAGAACAATCGGATTAAACCCGTGGGACTTATAATATTGTTGTATAAAAAGTGACACACGCCCATTTCATTGAAATGCGATTATACGAACGGCCAATAATATTTATATTAAAAACCTGACCCCGTGCACTTCGTTGTCTGTTAAAAATGCCAACTTCATAATATGAACCAAACTTTGTAGAATTCGATACTTAATATTCAGTATAATGGTGTTCAAAACTCAAAAAATTTCATCAGCCATCTTCAATCTCAAAATACTTGTGTACCACTTAAAAATGCTTTCTTAGTGCACACTTGCCGTGAAAATTTCA